TTTGTGCTGCTCAGTCAGCCTCTCTGGTCCTCTGCATGGGCACGGCTGTTTGAGATTAACAAGCAGGATGGCCAGGTCTTTCTGGCTCATCTCACTCGTCTTGTTGGGCTCAGCCTGTGTTTCTGGAGGAGAAGTTGAAGGCGTTGATACATTGGAAGGTGGCTTGGGCCCAGAAGCCAACAGACCTGGCTGCTGGCTCCAGCTCTGCCCTCTCATTAGCCGTGGGACCTGATCTGACCTCTGGCCTTGGTTCCCTCGGGTGGAAAGTGGGGACAACAACTTGTCCAGCAGGGTCTTGGACAGATTCCATAGGGCCATGGCCGGCAAACTGCAGCTCGAGAGCCACATGCGGCTCTTTGAGTGTGGCTCTTCCACAAAATGCCACAGCCTGGGCGAGTCTATTTTGAAGAAGTGGCGTTAGAAGAAGTTTAAGTTTAAAAATGTGGCTCTCAAAAGAAATGTCATTCGTTGTCCTGTTGACACTGACTCTGTGGACTAATGAGTTTGCCCTGGAGTAAATGTTTCTATGCGCTCAGCAAGGTGCCAAGCAAATGCGAGGACTTCATTGGCCCTCGGCGCACGTAAGGCAGCTGTTTCCAGCGGGCAGGCTCTGCGCAGCCGTGGCCTGGGAGTGCGTGCCCATCCCTGGAGGGGTGCGAGCAGATGCTGGCCTGCCGCCTGTCAGAGATGGGGTGTCTGCAGGGCTCCCCTGTCCGGCTGGCAGGTGAGCTAGGCAGGCCACCCCTGAGACTCTGCCCAACTCCCACCCGTCAGGGGTCCTGACTGAGAGTGCCAGCTGGAAACTGTTTCCTCTTGCCATGAGCTTGACTGGGATCACTGAGCAGTTACTGTTTTAATTTCTTATTTACCTGCACCTCTGCCATGGTTTCCCTGACATGCAGCTCCCGCATCCAGTGAAGCCCGCTGAGTGCCGTGTGCGTGTGTGCGTGTGCATGTGTGTACGCGCGCGCACACACACACACACACACACACACACACAATCTAGGCATGCCCTCCAGTCGGATCGGAGGTGGCACCTGATGCCGTCAGTGTGCTGTGTTAGTCCACCCTCCTGGAGGACTTTCCCACGATGGCCCTTCCGCTGTGTGACCGTGGCCAGGCCTCTCAGCCTCCCTGTTTCTCTTTACTCGAAGGCGGGGCGGGAGGGACACGGGCGTCTCCGCCGCAGGACGCTGTGGCGGCTGTGAGCCTGCGAGAGGGAAAGTTACGGGGCTTTGCAGAGGAAGCGGTGTCACAGACCCACCACCGCACGCCCTCCTGCTTCCTGGTCTCCGCTGGGACTCTGCGAGGAAGGGGTGCCCGTCTCCCCCGGGGGAGAGCTCTCCAGCCCCCTGCAGAGCCCGTGGGGCGCCTGTCTCTCCAAAGTGACTTGACGAGCACATGCTGTGTGCCCACACCGAGCCGGCCCCGGGTCCCGGCGGGGAACGAGGCCACCGCGGCCCTCGGGGTGGACGGCACACGCTGGAGAGGACAGTCTCTCCCACACGCCCCTTGCCCGTTGCCCCCGGGGGTGCAGGCCGGGTCCTCCCCAGGCCGCCCTGAGCGCGGTCGGCGTGACCCTCAGCAGGACTGTGCCTTTGAGCAGGATCACCGAGAGCACGGCCTTTCCTCTGGGCTGGGCTTCAGGATGCCGTGGCGTCCCGCCCCGTTCCTGGCGATGCTCACTCTGACCACGTGGTGAAGGTGGTGCCTTCCAGGCTCTGTATGTAAATTGTGCACAATTATAGATATACGTTATATAAAATTATAATGTTAGCTATTCTGACTCATTCATTAGCAAATCACTAACACGAGGTTGGTGGGAGCTAGAGGCTGCCGTGGCGACGAGAGCTGTCCCTGCTCCCGCTGTGACATGTCCCTGCAGCCTCCTGCATCCCTGCTCCGACTCCTGGGTTACCGTGGTCTCTGTAATGTCTGTTGTGGGCCATTTGTGCCCATGTGGGCCAGGGGGCACCGTTCGAGCTGACTCCTGTCCTTTACCATGTCCCCAGTGTTCCTGAGCCCTTCCTTCCATCATCCCTCCCTCCCTCCCTCCCTCCCTCCCTTCCTTCCTTCCTGGCACAGTGACAGTCCAGGCTGGTGCCTGCCAAAGCAGAATAGGATTTAGAAGCTGTGGCCTGGGCCCCAGGCTCACGGTGACCCGATGCCCGACTGGGTCCTAGCAAAGCGGAAGCAGGGTCAGCGGATTAGATTGCGCCGTGCGTCCGTGTGATTTCCTGGTTTTGCTGGTTGCACCGGGGCTGTGCAGAGAATGTCCTGTTCCCCTGAAATCCACACTGGAGTATTGGGGGGAGTTTATTCCTGTGAGTAAATAAATAAGAGAGAGGGGGCAAGGGAGGGAAATGAATGGAAAGGATGGAGAGGGAACGGCGGGGTGGGCGTGGCGGGGTGGGCGTGAGTGGGTGTGTGGGAGGAGCAGCAGGAAGTGGAGGCGAGCAGGTGGCAGGAGGCAGGGGCACAGCTGCTGGGCTGGGGAGGGAGGCGGCCTCTGCAGAGCCTTCGTGTGGGACGAAGCCCCTGGAGAGCATTGCGCAGGGGCTGGAGCTTCTGCTGTGGCTTCAGCCCCCACTGTGCTCCGGACACCGTGCTCCCCACACTGTGCTTCCCACACCGTGCTCCCCACACTGTGCTCCGGACACCGTGCTTCCCACACCGTGCTCCCCACACGGTGCTCCCGACCCCATACTCCCGACACCGTGCTCCCAACACTGTGCTCCTGACACCGTGCTCCCCACACCGTGCTCCCCACACCGTGCTCTCGACACCGTGCTCCCCACACTGTGCTCTGGACACCATGCTCCTGACACCGTGCTCCAGACGCCGTGCTCCCGACACCATGCTCCCCACACCGTGCTCCCAATCCCATACTCCCGACCCCGTGCTCCCGACACTGTGCTCTTGACACCATACTCCTCACACTGTGCTCCTGACAGCGTGCTCCCGACATGCCTCCTCTGTGCAGGGCACCTGCGAGCTTCATGCCTGCTACTGCCGGGGCAGGGAGAGTGCAGAGACAGCGACTGTCTGAAAGCACATGGCACTGAGCAGCAGGAGGAGGCCTGGCAGCTGCCTTTCTGAACTGATGATCCCAGACAGAGGCCCAAGCGGACTGTGGGTGTGCACTGTCAGCATCCCAGGACGGAGCTTTGTGGGGGCATTGGGCAGGAGGTGCCAGGCGTGTGGGGGGCATTGGGTAGGAGGTGCCAGGCGTGTGGGGGGCATTGGGCAGGAGGTGCCAGGCGTGTGGGGGGCATTGGGCAGGAGGTGCCAGGCGTGTGGGAGTGGCAGTCCGTGGCCCGATGGGATCTGTTCCTGAGCATCTTCCTAAGGCGCCCTCCCCACCCCTCCTGTGCAGGTGGCCTGAGGCCTCAGTGTGTCGGCTCAGGTGGTCCTCAGCGCCCGGGGCGATGGAGACTGAGGTCAGGGGGTGAGCTGCTGGCTCAGGGGCCACAGGAGCGCGAGTCAAAGCAGGTGTGGACATAGGAGGTGACAGGAGGGATGTGAGGTGGGGTCCCCCCGGGACAGGCAGACACCACGCTGTGCGGAACAAGGTGACAGAGTGAGCAAGGCTCACCCAGTGCCAGACCCTCCACCGGGGTCACCGCTGGCCCAGGCTGTGGGCTCGGTTCTGTGTGTGGACTGATGTTCACGGTGCCGTGAGTTTAAAGCACATGCTTTCGTATGGTGCCAGTACTGCCGGTTTGGTAAACAGGTTTCATACTCAAATCCCTGTAATCATAGCAGCGACTCTGAAGGAACAGAGACTAAAGTGAGGGGCACTGCTGGGCTTGTGGTGTGGGGGGTGTGAATTGTGCCCTCTCTCTGGGCGTCTGCACCTTCCAGTCTTTATTCCCGGTTACGTCTTGTGGGGTGCTGTTAACACAGCGAGGCTGGTCCGTGACTTCACTGCTATAAACCCCAAACAGAAGGCCCTCCATGGGGTCAGAGATCAGGGAGGGGTCACATGCTCTGTCTGGAACACGCACACCGAGGGCGTGTGAGGGACTCTTAGCTCCTGCGTGTGGGCGCGGCCCTCTGGGCTTGCCTGACCGCCTGGGCTCGCTCATGCACTGGGGTCAGCAAGGCCAGCTGCCTGCCCCGCGGAGGGTGAGCTCACCGCAGGCCCGGGCAGCCGCCCCTGGCCAGTGTGGAAGGGGACCACTGGGACCTGCCGTTACCGTCCTCCAGCAGGCGAGGCCGGGCGCGCCTCCAGGCAGCGGCTGTGCCAGGGCAGGCCTATGCATGCCGCACTCTGGCTAGCATCCTGCTGGCCAACACTAGTCACATGGCGAGCCCAGATCCAAATGCAGGGAACGCCCTGCCCAGAGCGGTTGGGGGGGTGGGGGGAGGGAGGACCACTGCAAGGTTATGTGGACATGGGGGGGAATTGAGGCATTCATGTAGTCAGACAGCATCACTTTTAGTGACTGCCTAATACGTCATTGCATGGGTCTGCCATCCTTTATTTAACCAGCTCTGTAAGGTTGGACAGTCAGCTTAGAATTTCCAAACTACTTCAAGGAATTGTAAGTCCTTCAGGGTGTTAATTGGGGGGTTGACACACACACACAAAAATGAAGGTTGGGTAAATAAATTTGGTAAGTGTTGAGCGGGGGGGGGGGGGGGGGGGGGGGGGGGGGAGTTCCCTTATTGCAGGACTTATGAGAACCTTTATATGCAAATACGCAGAATGAACTTCCGGAAGTCCGAGGGATACACACACTCAGCCGGGCCTGGGCTTTTTCCAAGAAGCACCTCCGGGGACAGGTGTTCCTGGCTCTCGCTCGGGGCTTTGTGCATCCGGGTTGGGTTTGGTGATTGGACAGGTCTCTGCTGAACACGGAGGGCTCACCGTGGCCAGACACAGTGGCCGGGGTGGGGGCGGCTGTGTCTGAGTGGGGCGAGCTCTGAAGGCTGCACTGGGATGCCTGGGTGGCGGGGACACGGGTCAGCCCTCACCGCTCACTGTCTCTCCGCAGGGGCCCTAGGACCTCCCGATGGGGCGGCTCGGCTCCGGGCTCACGCTCCCTGTGAGCTGCCTGATCCTGGTGTGGGCGGCAGGCGCTGGTAAGTCACCCCTCTCATTCATTCATTCATTCATTCGTTCATTCCTTCAGCAAACATGTACTGACTGTCTACCTGCCAGGCCCAATCAGGGAACAAAGCTGAGATCCCCGGCCTTGACTTTGCACTGTGGTGGGGTGAGACAGCCGATGACAGGTGGCCCGGATTATAAATTAATCCTAGGGTTGTTAGAAGGTGTGGGAAAAGACGATACAGAGCAGGGCAGGGAGGACTGGGGAAGCGGGGTCAAGGGGAGGATTGCAATTTATAACACGTGCTCAGGGAAGTCCTCAGGAGTGACAGGCACTGAAGCAGAGACTGAAGGAGGTGAGCAGCAGCTGTCTGGGGAGGACCTCAGTGGAGGCAGAGCCGAGAGTCTGCCTGGAGGCTGGTGGAGCCAGAGGAGTGGGTGGGGCCGGGTGGCAAGCCACCAGTCCGGAAGCTTTGAGGGTGTGAGCGGAGGAGGTACATGGCCTGTTACACGGATACGATCCCTTTGTAAGCATGAGGGTGGAGTCGGGAGGTTGGGGAGGAGCAAGCCGGGACATCCTGCTGGTTCTCAGCAGGCCACTGAGTGGCTGGACTGGACTGAGCACCCCACCTTCTCACCCGCCCTTTGATATTGGCCAAACCCAACAAGGAGCCAGTGGCCACGGGCACTGGGTGACAAGACGGTGGGATCAGCCTCCTGAGCTGCGGGGGTGGAGGGGGGTGGGGGGAGCACGGGAGCAGCACAGGGATAACCGCCTCCCGCTGCAGGGCAGGTGCCTGTTGGCGGCCGTCCTCACACTGCCTCGTATTTTCCCTGTAATTTGGCCAAAGGCAGGTAGGTGAGCGGCAGCACACGAAGGTCATGGGGTGCCCCCTCCGTGGGCCCTGCACCCGGGGATCGTCTTCAGCCTCGGGAGCCGCCTCAGGGCAGCGGGAGGCTGTGAGGACGCACACGGCGGTCCGGGCGGCGGTGCCCGTGTTCGCGACGGGCCCTGGTCCTGTTCCGGCTGGTTCCGGCCTGTCCCGGTGGCCACGCCCTCTTGCTGGGCCGCTCAGGGCGCTGCTGTGTCTGTCTCCCCAGGGGGTGTGCAGCTCCGGCAGCAGCCCACCTGCTTCTCCGACTACCTCAGCACCTCCACCTGCGAGTGGAGGATGGGCGGCCCCACCGACTGCAGCGCCGAGCTCCGCCTGACCTACCAGCTGGTCTTCCTGAACGAGGGGTGAGCCTGTGCCGGGGAGCTGGGGCGGGGGGGCGGCGAGGGGAGGCCAGGAGCTTGGCCTGAGTTCGCCGGCGCCCGGTGGTGCCCTGGAGTGCCGGGTGCTGAGTGCGGCTCCCTGCGGTTCTTGCTGGGGCCGGGGTGCAGTGTGCGATGCCGTTGGTGTCATGCCGCTCCGAGCTCACGCACCGGGCCTGCAGTGTGTGGATGGAGAGGGATATCGGACCAGGCAGCTCTCAGGCCCTCAGCCTAAGGACTCCAGCTCAGAATGAGCGAGGACCCCAAAAGCATCCGTGCAGGCAGCCTGTAGCGCTCGCTCTGGGCCGCTAGGAATGGAACCAGGACATTGAAATCACAACAGCACGCAGCCACCAGAGCAGCGACACCGTAACACACCACGTGATCGCTAGAGAACTCCTTGGTTCGCGTGAGAGAGAGCGGCAGGTCGTTTGACCCGGGCATGACCATTGTTAGGGCGCAGTCAGTGTGAAGTTCAGCATGGGACGTGGGATGCATGTTCCCGTGATTTATGTACATGCCCTCGATGCACCAGGTAGGTGCCCTGTGCTCCCCAGGGCGGTGCCCGGGCCTAGATCAGAGGTGGGGTGCTGGCCCTGAGCCACACGGGGCCCCCGTGCTGTAAACCGAGTGCTGGCACGTGGCCACGCCCATTCGCTCCTGTGTTGTCTGTGGCTGCTTCTGTCTTGGCCAGCAGGGTGTGCAGTGTATGGGGACAGGAATGGCCTGGCTCTCACAGTCTGGCCCTTGACGGAAAACGTTTGCCACCCTCCGGATGAGACACAGGTTGGCTGTTTGGGGCGGCACGTTAGGATGACGTGTGGTGGCAGGGCGTGTGCCACAGTGCCCTGCATGGGAGAGGACAGGCCCCAGGCGTGCTAGCGCGCGCGCGCGCACGCACACACACACACACACACACACACACACACACACGCTGTTACAGATCCTTCGGTGCCATGGTTCTTCCCTTTCACTGGCCTTCAGGGATGAGCCGAGTCCTGGGACCGAGGCCGCAGCCAGGGGGTGGTGGGCGAGGGGCTGTGGCAGCACGGACGGCAGTCCTAGCCCCCTGGCCCACCACACAGGCTGGCTGCCCTGCTCCCAGCCCCCTGACCTGGTCCTGAGGCAGGAGACCAGGAACTAGCAGAGCATGTGGTTCCTTGAGGCATGTCCGGGGGACACCGTACGTGCATGACAGCCTAATGCAGCCCGTGTCCGCAGAAACCACACGTGTGTCCCTGCGAACAGAGAAAGCACCATGTGCCAGTGTGACATGCTGATGGACTACATAGTCAGCGCGGACATCTACCAGCTGGGCCTGTGGGCTGGGAAGCAGCGGCTGTGGAGTGGCTCCTTCATGCCCAGCGAGCATGGTGAGCGGGCGGGGCGGGTGCCCTAAGCCCGGCCCTGGGGTGGGCCAGGCGGGTTCCATCCGGGGGAGGGCCCAAGCAGCCTTTCCTTAACCCCGATGGGGCTCTTGCCCTGCCTGGGCCTTAGTCCTCCCGTCTTTGAAATGGGGTTGGGCTCAGCAGCACCAGGCCCCCTCAGCTCAGACAGGCAACCCCCTGGTTGTGAGCGCCCGGACCGGGTGTTGAGCAGGCTGCTTGGTGGAAGGTGTTCTTGCCGCAGACCAGAAACTGAGCTGGGAACCGTCCTCACCTCCCTTGACTGCTCAGCTGCTGCTGCTGCTTCAGACAGTCCGGACCAAGCATGTCAAACTCGCAGCCCATGGGCTGCATGCCTCGTTTATTTGGCCCTTGTTAGCCTTTGAGTTTCACATGCTTAGTCTAGACTATGAAAGGCTGACCTTATCCTGCTGCCCAGAGTCCCTGCAGGCATTCCCCAGAGCTGGCTAGGGGGTAATGACAGGAGTTTCAAACACCATTTATTGCTGTGTGACCTTAGGCAAGTCACCTCTCTGAACCTCAGTTTCCAAAAGAGAGTTCCTATCCCCATTTTGCAACTGAATAAACTGTAGTGCAGAGCAGGCAAGTAACCCGCCTACGGTCACACAGTATGAGCAGCAGAGGCAGGGTCTCGCAGCCTCCGCCGCTCCATCAGCAGCGCCTGCAGGACCCCGCTTACCCGCTGGTGGTAAACTGGCCCATGCACAAACCCTGAGTTAATGTAATCCTCACATGCGCATGGCGACATTGGTGCATATTATATACTTGCGATCTCACTAATACGATTGCTTCAAAAGAGACTAAGTCTAAACACACGAATCAAAATGAAGAAAAATGCATGGTACATAATGTAGCTCACAGACGTGGCTGAAAGTGTGAAGGACGAAAGTGCACACGCCGGAGTCTGGGTTATTTGGCGTACACGTGCTGGGTTCCCCGTGGCTCCAGGGAGAGGGGGAGCAGCGCCAGAGTGAGTGCCGGGATTGGAACTGCTATGACCGTGAACCTCCGTGGTGCCTACACATGGAGGTGGTGTTGACTGAAAACCTCAGCGGTCCGGGCTCCGAGGGCCACACGCCCTCACCAGGCCCCCTTCTCCCCAGTGAAACCCAGGGCCCCCGGAAACCTCACGGTGAACGCCACCGACTCCCACATGTGGCAGCTGACCTGGAGCAACCCGTACCCACCTGAGAGTTTCCTGGCCTCTAAGCTCTCCTACCTGGTCAACATTTCAAACGAAGACGACCCCACGGAGGTGAGTGGGCACGTGGGGGTTCTCACCACCCCCTGGGACTCGGGGAGCGGAGACCCCATCCCAGGGTGGGAGACAGGAGCCCGGCTAACTGCAGCCTGGGACCTGGAGTCCCGGCTTCTGTCCCTCCGCCCCTCGCCTGGCGCCCGGTGTGCGGAGAAGGGACGTGACTTGTGGGCCTGCTCCTCCCTGTAAGGGAGGCTCTGGGCGCAGCTGTGTGTCCCAAGGACCGGAGGGACACTGAGATTTCGGGGACCCTCTCAAATGACTGAGTCCCACCATGACACCCTCACTCAGCATAGTCTCCCTGACGCTGACTGGTCAAGGCCAGCGTGGCCAGGGCTGCGGGCCGCCTGAGGCTCGCAGGGAAGGATGGCTCCCAGCTCCTGTGAGTTTGGCCGCATCCGTGTGCCAGGGGCTGTTGGGCCCAGGCAGGAGGCCACCCTCCGTTCCTCCCTCGTGGCCTTCCCCCAGCCAGCCCGGGGGAGAGAGGGCGCCCCGGGAGTTTGGCTGATGGTCTCACATGATGTCACCACAGGTGTGGTCCCACACACCATCACCTTTGTACTTCCTGTCGGTGAGAAACAAGTCAGAGTCCTGCCCACAATAAGGGACAGGACTGTACAGGGCAAGACACAAAGGGGATCCTGGGCCCTCAGTTTGTCTGGCACCATTTTTTTTTTAACGCAATAGGCAGCAGACAACACCACCTACTAATTGTCATCTTACCTTGTCCACTCAGCTACAGTCCTGGAAGTCTTCCCAGTGGGGGCTGGTGGGCGGGGCTGAGGTCGGGGCCATGTGCCTGGGCTGGACGTGAGGCTCCAGAGAGCCCATGAGGGAGCCAGGGGCATGTGCCTCTGTCTGCGCTTCAGAAAGTTCATCACGCTCCCTGGGCGCCAGGCCCTGTCCTAAGTGCTTCCCTGCTTCAACCCATTTAATCCTCACGGCAACCCTGGAGGCAGGCACTTTTTCCCTCATTGCAGAGAGGACATTGAGGTTCCGTCACTCACCTAAGGTCACACCCCCCGAAAGTGACAGTAGGGACCCTTGCCCTCAACTTACAGATGAGGAAACTAAAGCTCAGAAAGGTTCCGACTCGCCCCAGCCCTGTCCTAGGGCTGGTCAGTGGGGTGGGGCGGGCCGGTATTCTGACCCATCTCACTGGAGCCTGGTCACAGCCATGGAGGTGCCAAACTGCCTGGGCCGGCGGAATGACCAGATACCAGGCTGGTGGCTCTTACACGCCGTGCGGTCAGCCAAGGACAGCAGCCCGAGTGGGGGTGGCACCCCGGTGCCAGCTGTGCGGTGATGTCTTCCTTTCCTCCCCCAGTTCCTAGTCCACAATGTGACCTACAAGGAGCCTACCTTCCGCTTCCCGGCCAGCGCCCTGACGCCCGGGGCCCCCTACAGCGCGCGGGTGCGGGCCTGGGCCCCGAGCTACAACAGCCTGTGGAGCGAGTGGAGCCCCCCTGTCAAGTGGGTTCACTGTGAGTATCCGGGTCAGTGCTGAGCGGTTAGTCCTCCCCGCTTCACGCTGGGCCCAGACTCTGCCCTGGCCGAGCACCCGGGTCTCCGTCCGAGGACGCCTCCACGCAGGTAACAGAGGAGCGGCTGGCACGGCCACTGGCCCAGGCGGGCAGGCGGGGCTGCGTGGCAGGTGCCCACGGGGCCCGAGCTTTCCCGTGTGGAAACGTGCTTCTGTGTGTGTGACAGTCCAGCGTGACTGTGCTGGCCTGTGGGTGGTCTTCCTCCCGGGCTCATCTCTCTCTGGGACAGAGATGGTTAACCTGTGTGTGCTGGGCCCTTTGGCAGTGAGGGAGCCCCGAGGACCCATTCAGAACAATGTTTCTACAGGCATAAATAAAGAACTAGGATTAATTTTATACAATTATAAAATATACCTTAAATATGGTTGTGATCTGGGAACATATGCTTCTCTGTTAACAGAGAAACAGGAGCGAGGGCAGTTCTCATAAATACTGTCCCCAGAAAACGGATAAGTGACATTTGTTATCTGGCAGCAGTATGTGGTAGGAGAGCAGCTGTGATGTCTGTGGGCAGCTGGGTGACTGCTGATGCTCCCTCCATGCCTAACGGGAGGAAATGCGAGGTGTCAGAAGTGAGTGCAAATAAAGATGTCATTTCTTCCCCATCCAAGTCCCAGACCTCTGAATTCTGCCTGCAACCTTGTTGGAGGTCTGTGGACCCCAAGTGAAGGATCTCTAAGGGCCCTGCCATTGTCTGCAGCCAGCCAGCAGAAGGGGAAGGAGAGCAGGGAGGGACACCTGCTTCTTAAAAGCCTTAGCCTGGAAATGACACATCACTCCCTCTCAAGTTCTATTGGTGAAACTGGCCACTTGGCCACACATAGCTGCAAGGGATTCTGGGAAATGTAGTCCTTTGCTTGAAATAGCACCCCCAAAATAACTCTTTACAACTTTATCACTTGGCTTTTGTAATAGAAATGTTGAATTATCTCACATTCCCAGGTTCTTGCAGCAGCTCAATGATATCACCCCAGAGTCTTGCCTTCTTTTCCTCTGACATCCTTAGCATGGCAGTATTTTATCTTTAGATTTGCCACCTCATGGCCCAAGTTGGCTGCTGTACACAGCCTCAGACCCCAAGGGCCAAGGAAAATGAAAGGTTCTATCACTAACAGGAAGCAAAAAATCTTCCCAGAGCTTCCTAGCAGACCTTCCCTTGCATCTCTTTGGCCAGGACTGTCACATGGCCTCTCTCAACTGCAGTGAATGCTGGGAACTCAAATGTCTGGGAAGGAGACTAGGATCATCGTGATTGGCCTGAACCTCAGGGTGGGCACATTGCCACTGGGCAAAGAAGAGGGAAAGATAGGGGAGGAGGCTGCCTTAGGCATTGTCTGCACTGTGGAGAGGAGATGGGTGGTTAACATTCACTTAGAGAAGAATTCTTCAAAGTGTCTCTTCCCCATCTGTCTCCACCTGGGCTGTGAGCTCTGTGGGTAGTAGCTACCCTGTGCCTGTGTCCCCAGTGCCCAGAAAGGGGCCAGGCACACAGAAAGTCCTTGGGAAAGTGTTGTTGAATTGATTTGATTCTAACATTGGCCTGGGGAAGGGAGGAGAGGGGATGAGAGGGGAAAGAAAAGGAGGGGGGAGGAGGGGAGGGGAGGGGAGAGTAATGGCTTGCATGGAACATGTGCAGTGTGCTGGACACATTCCTTATTTCCACATCTATTTATTGAGCTCCTACTATGCGTGGCCCCATGCTAGACACTGGGAAATCAGTGGTGAACAAAACAGACAAAAATCCTTGCCTTCTGGAACCGGCACTCGGGGGAGGGGGAACAGAAAATAAACATTCAGAAAAGAGGAAATCAAATCAACCCAGACCCAGCGGCAGTGGGTCTGGAGGCAGTAAAGTAGGGAAAGGGGGCTGAGTGATGGCAGAGAGGGCGCGGGGGAGTTTGGGAGCTGGCGAGGGTGCAGTGAGTGAGGAGAGGAGCCCGTGTGCGAAGGGGATAGCAGCATGGGGAGCGGGCGCTGTTCTGAGTGCGGTGGGTGGTAAGTCGTGGGACCCTCACAGCTCCCCGTGAGATGAGCACTGTTGTTAACCCCATTGTGCCGGTGAGGAAACCGAGGCACCGAGGGGGTGAGGGATGTGTCCTGGGTCACCAGTGAGGGTACGACAGAGCCAGGCTTTGAACTCAGGTCGTCCAGGGCCAGAGTCACTGCCCTGGACCTCTGTGCTTCAGGAAAGAGCAGCAATTCAAGATCCTGAGCTGGCACTGAGCGTGGAGGAGCAGGGGCAGCGAGGGGGCCTGTGTGGCAAGGGCTCAGGGTGCACGGGGAGGGCCCAGGGGCTGGGGCGGGAGGGCTCGGGGTGGCTGATCGTGCGGGATCTGGGAGCCACTGGCTGAGGCTCCGGGGAAATGGAGACCAGGTTGTACCCAGCAATGAGGGCTCATGGCTTCCCTCCCCCTTCCAGACTACGAGGGGCCCTGGGAGCAGCGCCTCCCACTGGCCGTGGGCATCTCCTGCGTCGTCATCATGGCCGTCTGCCTGTCCTGCTACTTCAGCATCCTCAAGTGAGTCCTGGGCTGGACCCCGGGGCGGGGAGCGGGCAGGAGTCCCTCCTCTCACCTGTGGGCTTGCAGTCCTCGTTCAACCATAAGTGTTTATGGAGCGAGGCTCTGAGGCAGCAGCTGAAACCCACCCAGGGCCTCTGTGAGCCTGTGGGAGCCCCATGTCAGGCCTGCAGAGAGCCCGGTGTTTCCCCCGCAGCCCCAGCGCGAAAGGAGATGAGCTGGGCGCAGGCACAGATTCCCGGGCGCTGTGTGTTGGTCAGGGAGGGGGAGAGGCGGGGGGACGGGAGGGGGCAGGATATTTGAGCTGAGAGGGGCCTTCCTTGGGAGAGGGAGGTGGATCTGCCTGGGGTGTGATCCAGACAGTTGGGGCTGACAATAGACCAAGGAATTCTAGGTGATTGCCCTGACAGTCGGGAGACCAGGGCTCCGGTCTGGCCCTGGCGCTGGCAGCTGTGGGACTGGCTCCTCCTCTGGGGGCTGAGAGAGCGGGAACGTGTTCCGTCCGTCCTAAGAGTCTGAGAGAGTCTTGGATCACAGTGGGGTGGGGGTAGAAGGAGCCTGGTTTTCAGGAAACATGGTGTCTCAGAGCCTCAGTGCTCCCATCTCTGAAATGGGACTAGAGTCCTCCCTCGCCATGTGAGGATTAGTGACGGCTGAGGATTGACTGGGCGCACAGTAAGTGGGCAGGGGTTGCAGGCTTTCCTCTCCGTGTCTTGTCACTGACACCTCCCAGCCACCGTGGGCTGGTCTTTTCTCTCCTCTGAGCCTCAGTTTCCCCATCGCCTGTCCTCCCAGACCCGCTCACTGTCCAGCACTCCAGCCTCTTGCTGTTCTGTGAACGCACCAAGCAGGTTCCCTCTGAACCTTTCACTCGCTGTGCCCCTGCCTGGAGGCCCTTTCCCCGGCATCGCCCTGGCTCCCTCCTCTTCCACTCTCAGTCCCACTCAGAGGCCGCCTCCTCAGGGGGCCCTCCTGGACCACCCCCATTCCTCTCTACTCCTTTATCTTCTCCATTTCCACTCGTGGCGCTGGATGCCATCATTAATGTCCTGTGGTTACTTCTGTCTGTCTCCTCTTCTCTGAAGTCAGCTATGTGAGGGCGGAGCCTTTGCCTGCTTCACTGTTCTGTCCGAGGCCGGGCACAGGGAGTGTACACAGTAGGGGCTCAGCACGGCATGCTGACTGAGTGGAGTCAGCGGAGGCTGACCCAGGGCATCTGAGGACCTTCCCTCAGAGCTGACACGCCATGGCTCCAGGCCGACCGGGGGAGGAAGGAACCTGCTTCTTCCAGGGTCTCCTCAGCCTCTCAGCCTCCCCTGGCCTGGCTCCCAGCGGCTCCCTGGGGGACCGCTGATGGGAGCACCCGAATTCTCTGCAGCCCGAGTGCCTCCTGCTTCCCTGGGCTTGTCCCATGAGGACAGAGGCGGCGAGTCGGGAGCAGAATGCTGGGGCACCAACCGGCTCCTCTGCCGCCAGCTGTCCCTTCAGCCCCGGGAGCCTCAGTCTGCCCATCTGTGAATGGGGTTGGCAGGAGGCCCTGTCCCACGGGACATCCAAAACCAACCCACATGGTCCTGGCCCCTGGGAGGAACTGGCGATGTGGTCATTTCTGTGGGTGGAGAGACCAACGCGCTTCCCTTCTCTTTTCCAGGATCAAGAGAGAGTGGTGGGACCGGATCCCCACCCCGGCCCGCAGCCCCCTCGTGGCGGTGGTCATCCGGGAGGCCCAGGTAGGCGTGGCCGGTCCGGGCTGTGGAGCTCCTGGCAGGAACCAGCATCCCGGCGTCTGGGCGTTAGACACTCACGGGCTTTGGATGTGCACCTGAGTGTCAGGAAGGCCCCAGCACAGGCGCTTCTGCAGCCCAGTGTGGTCATCAGGGGCCAGAGGCTGCCCCCTCCCCCCACCTCAGCTTTCAGAGCCGATTTCCAGCCTGGGGCGGGTCCCTCCCTTGGGAGGAGATGGCCCCTGTGGTCACCGGCATGTCATCCCTGGGGAGGTGCCTGCACCCGGGCAGGAGGCCAGGAGGCCAGGGAGGGGGCACTCGGCTCCTGTGTGTTCCTCTTACGGGCAGGAAACTGCCGCAAAGCGCCAGCAAACCCCTCCTTTCTCACTGGCCTGGGTTGTATCCCATGCTCATTCCTAAGCCTTCGCCTGCCAGGAGCGGGGAGACCGGGGGCCGGCCGGTGCCAGCCTGAGCGTGGCCGCGTGCGGTTGCCCGAGCTCATGGGCTCTCTGTGAGGGGGCGGGAGCCGGTCCTCAGGTCTCCGGGGACCCTCCGGCAGGCTGTGGGCCCGGCCCTGCCGCTCACCTGCAGAGCGGCCTGGGTTTGAGCAAGCGGCTAACCGCCCTGAGCCCGGTGTCCTGTGGGTTGTGCGGTGATTATGGAACGGTTGGAATTCACCGAGACGGTGCCTGTGAAGTGTGTGTCACCAGGCCCTGCACAGAGCCAGCCTCATCCACGTGTCAGTCAGCTTTGCTGTGCAGCAAACGATCCTAAACTTGGTTGAAACAAGCCCCATCTGTAGCTCCTGCTTCTGTAGTCGCTCAGCGGTGGGGCCGGAGGGGGGTCTGGGCCGGGCAGGGAGCTCCCCGGCCGGGCTCCTCCCCGCGGCTTCGCGCCCAGCTCCGCGGTGGTCTGGCTCTCGCCGGGCCCTGGAGTGACTGAGCCTGTCGTCCTCCCGCGGGCTGGCCCGCTGGCTCAGTGCCACGTGTGCCCCTTTCTGTGCCCAAAGCACGTCACCGGCCGGGCCAGGCCCATGGGCTGGAGGAGCTGCAGACGGCGGCCACTTTGCCTTCAGCCTCAGCAGCTGAGCATCGGGGCGGCCTCGCTCAGTCCCAGGGGCGGAGGCTCCGGGAGCCGCAGTGGCTGGTCTGACCTCCGGCAGGTGACGGCAGGGCCCACAGCCCTCCCCAGCTCACTGCGGCCTCTCCGCTCTGCTCACCGCGTCTCTGTGTTCCAGGTGCCGATGTGGGGGAAGAGCCCTGGGGGCCAGGAGCCGGCCAAGTGCCCGTACGTATATGAGCTTGGGTCACAGCCCGTGTGGACCTGGAGGGGGTGGAATTGGCGCAGTGAGGGGGTCCCACGCCCCTCTGTGCCTGCCTTTTCGTTGGCACTCAGCACTGTTCTTTGCAGGGTGGGAGGGGGAGGAGTGGGCTGGGGAGGTGGCTGCTGGCTGGGCCCCTGAATTTCCCTGGGGGGGTCGGGCAGGTGCGGGGCCTCCTTGGGGGTGCATTCTGGCCTGAGCAAGGCTGTGGAGTCAAGTACCCGGGCAGCGGTGCCCGCTGTAAAGTGCTGACATCACCGCATGCTGGTTGGCAAACACCACTGTCCTAAACCCTGAAGATGCCACCAGCACCTTAGCCTCCTTAGCGCCTCCCCCAGGCCTCTGGGCCTCCCCCGGTGCAGTAGCCGAAGGTTAGACCCGGCACTGAGGGGCCTTCATGACGCGGGAGCCCTGCCCCCGGCAGCCGTCCTCAGTGGGCGTTCCCTGTGCTGCGTGTTTTAAATCCCATCCTCCCTGACAAAGACGGTTCATTCAATAGTCTGAGCTGGCAGTGGGTCCGGGTTATGGGCTGAGCTCCAGACATCCCCAAGGCAGACAGGGCCCTCCTTCCGGGGGCTCCCAGGGCAGGAGCGGGGCAGACTGAGAGGCAGTGGCTGTAAAGCCAGGAGGCCCGTCTGCAATAGGTAGGCATCAGTCCAGGGCGGCTTCAGGCTGGGTTTTGAGGGATGAATAGGAGTTTTTCAAGTGGAGACACTGACCTGACCAAACTGCTTCTGCAGGTACTGGAAGACGTGTCTGACGAAGCTCCTGCCCTGCCTGCTGGAGCCCGGCCTGGAGAGGAGTGACAGTTCTTCCAAGGCGGCCGGGAGCGGGCCTGCCCAGGGCCCCGGACCAGCCTGGCGCCCCGCGGAGGGCAGCAGCGCGGTGCTCTGGCCGGAGAGCATCAGCGTGGTGACGTGCGTGGAGCTGCTGGAGGCCCCGGTGCAGAGTGAGGAGGAGGAGCAGCAGGAGGAAGACGGAGGGAGCCTCTGCCCCTCGCCCGAGAGCAGCGGGGCCGGCTTCCAGGAGGGCAGGGCGGGCATCGCGGCCCGAATGACGGAGCACCTGCTCCTGGACCTCCTCGGGGGCGCGGAGGGGGGCTCCTGCCCGCCAGGCTGGGGGCAGTCCTGCCTCCTCTCGCCCTTGGCAGGTGCCAGTGCTCAGGTGCCTGGGGCAGGCAAGGAGCCTCAGGAGGCCCCCCTTCGGGGCGGGGAGCAGCCCCCAGAGCGCCCCCCGGCCACCCGGACGCAGAGCCCCGCCCGCCTGGCTGTGGCAGAGCTGCCTGCCATAGTCATTGCCGACAACCCCGCGTACCGCAGCTTCGGCAGCTTGCTGCGCCCGCCCTCGGACCCGCAGCTGGCCGAGGACCAGGGAGACAGGGACCCCAGCGTCCTCCCTGCCCCCCAGCCCTCCGGGCCGCCTGCCGCACTCCAGCCTAAGCCAGAGACCTGGGAGCAGGGCCTCCGGCAGAGCATCCTCCGGCTCCGGGCGGCTGGCCCCTCGGCCCCCGGCGGCTACGGGCAGTTCACGCCAGAGGTGTGGCAGGGCAGCACCCGGGGCGGCGAGTCGGGCAGCCCCCCCGGAGACGCCGGGTACAAGGCCTTCTCCAGCCTGCTGGCCAGCGGGGCCGCGTGCCCAGGGCCTCCTGGGGCTGAGGCCAGCAGCGGGGAGGGGGCCTACCGGCCCTTCCAGGACCTCACTGCTGGCAGCCCTGGGGTCCCTGCCCCTGTCCCCCTGTTCACCTTTGGGCTGGACACGGAGCCACCGCCCGGCCCTCAGAACTCGCCCCCCCTCACTGGCTCCCCGGAGCGTCCCGGTCTGGAGCCAGGGCCGCAGGGAAAGGACAGCCAGAAGCGCCCACTCGCCCCAGAGCAGGCCGCAGCCCCCCTCGGGGACGACCTGGGCAGCGGCATCGTCTACTCGGCCCTCACCTGCCACCTGTGCGGCCGCCTGAGGCAGTGCCACGGCCGGGAGGAGCCGGGCCAGGCCCACGGCGAGGCCCCCCACGGCGAGGCCCCCCGCTGCTGTGGCTGCCGCTGTGGAGATGGCTCTGAGCGCCTGGGGGGCCCCCCGCCAGGTGGGGTTCTGCTGGAGGCCAGCCTCCCTCCGGCCTCCCTGGCACCCCTGGGTGCCTCGGAGGAGGGCAAGGCCCCCCTGTCCTTCCAGCCTGGCCCCAGCAATGCTCAGAGCTCGAGCCAGACGCCCCAGATGGTGGCCATGCTCTCGACGGGCCCACAGGCATGAGTGCGTCCTAGGTGTGCGCCCTCCTAGGTGTGCGCTCTCGTTGCTGAGCACACCTCAGCCCTGCCTGCGAACCCCTCTCCCACCCCATCCCCCACGCTGAGGGCAGCCAGGCTGGCGTGGCCGAGACAAGAGAAGCCGTGTGAAGTGAGGGTGTCTGACCGGCTAGGAGGCCGGACCTGTTCTCACACTGAGGAGCTCAGCGCGTGCCGCGGGTGGGAAGGCGGGAGCCGGGCCCTCAGAGCCGCCTGCAGGGACCGGGGGCTCCGGGCACCTTGGCTTGTGAGCGAGCTGTCGGCCACCTGATCGGTCCACGCTTCGCCAGCGCACTGCCCCTGCCACGCCGCCCACGGCCTGTCTGTCCCCCGCTCACTCGGTTGCCCACGTCTTGCCCGGCTCCGGACGCTGAGCCTAGACACTAACCGAGCAACGGGGAGCGCCGGAGGCTTTGGGGCTGATGGGAGCCCGGGCCTGGAGCGCGGCGATGAGCCCAGCGGTGCCACCATTCAGCGGCTCCGGTAGGCCGGCGCGGAGCAGGAGCGGGCAGGGGAGGGCGCTCAGTCAAGCAGGGGAAACGGAAGCTCTGAAAAACGGCGGTTACCGCGCAGTGACGGGTTGTGGGGTCCGGGAATAAACACACCCAGCTGCCTTGGGGCCGGTCGGTGCCCTGCAGACACCGTGGCTGCAGCCACAGACCAGAGGGAGAGCTCCGCCCTGAGAGCCGGCTGAGCTGGGCGTCCAGACGCCCACACCAGGCACGTTTCACCTGCCCGCCGGCCCGGACCTCCCGCTGAGTGTGTGTGTGTGCACGCGCGTGTGTGTGTGTGTGTGTGTGTGTGTGTGTGTGTGCGTGTGTGTGTGTGTGTGTGTGTGTGTGAGATTGTTTAAACCTAATATTTGTATTTGCAGAGGAGGCTGGGACGGGAGGGGGTGGAGTTTTATATAAGTAAAGGTTCTTTCTCTCTTTTTTTACTTATGAAACAAGCATGCTTTTTATCTTTATTAACTCATTGACTCCACACAGGACTCAAGTGCAATGAGGTGATCAGGAGGGGACCCAGGAAGCCTCCTGGGGAGCGGGCAGGGAGGCAGGTAGGGCGGAGGCCGTAGAGGAGGGAGTGTTATAAACAGCGCCAGCCGGGCCGCTGCTGCCTGGTCCTGCCGGGAGCTTCGGAAAGCCATGCACCTAGAGGTGTAAGCCTAGAGGTGTCCCTGCAAAGTGGGGTGGGGGCTGGGGTGTTGGTCGGCCCACTCCCCTCTGCCGCCGGTGGAGGCCACGGCAGGGCACTGGCAGCAGCTCCAAGCTTTGCCAAGGCTCACAGCTCATTGGCAGGCCCACAGCTGAGCCCGCGTGTCTGTCACCCAGGCTCTGCCGTGATGGTCCTCACACCCAGGTGGGTGGCCTGAGGGACTGGGCCTCCGACGGGCAGGCAGGGAGCGTAAGCTCCTAGGTCTGTGACTGTGTCTGTCACACTTTCAAATGGAGGCTTGGCCGTTTGAAGTTCCTTCCTGCTCTGCCGTTCTATGCAGCTCGCTGCCTTACATGCAGCCTGATTGTCCAAGTGTCTCCTTTATTATTTTTTTTAAGTGTCTCCTTTGTATTGAGCCCAAAACTATCGCTTTAGCTGCCAGAGTCCCCCTCCCCCCTCCCCCAGACGCCCAGTTTACAAGTGGGGACACAGCTTCAGGGAGGAAGAGGGGTTTGCTAAGGTCAGCAGTGAATGGCAGAGCCTGAACTAGCCTCTGGACTTTGTGCCTTCAGGAGTCATAACAAAACATAAGAATTAAAAATGAAAATAGCTATTTAGCGCCAAGCAGTATGCTAGATGCTGTATCTCCCCTGTGCCAGCTCTAGCAGGCAGGTCCAGTCGTCCCGGTTTCACAGCTGAGGAAGCAGCCCGGAGAGGCTGAGGTCTGGCCTCGGGTCCCACAGCGAGCGAGTCCCAGAGCCAGGCCTGCCTGCAGAGCTCCAGCCCCATGGAGGCCTCTCCTGTACCGCACGGCACCATCCGCACGTCAGCTCCAACCCGCTTTGTCTGAGCATCGTCTCAGGAAACCCAATTTAAGAATTAAGCAGCAGAGAAAGTACATTAGTGTGCGTGGTGGAGGGGCAGTTGGGTGAGGTGCAGCAGGATGGAGGCAGAGTGTTTGTTCTCTCCTCAGGATTTTATAAGGAGGGAGACCCAGCTGGTGGGCTGAGGCTGATGTGACAGAAATAACGGGGCTTGGGGCTGGGATGGGGAATTAGGTAGAGAACCTCCGTCTCTTCCCTGCCTTTAACCACCTCCCAGGCTCCCGGGAGCTGGAGAAAGGCCACTGCTCTTGCTTCCCCAGCCCCCTTCTGCAGCTTAGGAGGAAGCAGAGCAGGAAAGCAGGTAGCGGGAAAGCCCACACCACACATATTTACTGAGCGCCTACTGTGCCAGGGGCTGTGCTGGGTGCTGAGGAGACAGTGAGAGGAGCTGCTTCCCTCCTGGACCTTATAGTTCAGTTGGGGAGACACACATGGAACAGACAAAAGAAAAAATTGCAAACACCAATGGGTGCTGTGCACCCTAAGAAAGACACCTACTAAGAAGGGCTCCTGGTGGCTAACTGGGCTCAAATTTAAAAACTAACAGAACCTAGCAGCGGTTTCTACACAGGGATCTCTCCTGTAACCTTCAAGGAGAGCCTGCAGGGGACTGCCTGCCTGCACTGGGCTGCTGCCATCTGAGCCCTGGAATCCCATTTCAACCAATAGGACTGAGGATTTCCCCACCCAGTTGGAGCTGGGCAGCTCCACACAGCTCTATCCTGACCAATCAGGACAGTGCCTTTTTGGGCCAGACTTTGAGTTCTATTTTGCATGAGGACAGAACAATCAGGCACTAGGGGCAGGGACTTCTGTCCAGACAAGCCAGCTCTGAGAAGGCTCTCTCCCTTCCCACTGAGGACTGAGTCTCCCTGGCTGAGCTGAGACACGGAAGATACCTCAGTGGAGTGGAGAGGAGCAGACCAGTACAGGCCAGAGCAGGCTGGATCAAAGGGGAGCCAACCAGGGCAGCAGGGAGCAGAGCACAGCTGTCCAGGCAGACAGGGGCCTGGCTCCAGGGCACCATGTTTGCACAGCCAAGCTGTATAGTAAAGGAGCTGTTTGCACTGAATAATGTCTCCTTCACCACACCCCACACCGGGGGTTCCTGTTGCTGTTAAATTGGTGCCAACAACCGTCAGTTGGCAGTGCTCTGCAGAAAACGGCCTGGGACATGGGGAGCTACAGGGAGGCCTAAGGAGGTGTGTTCACAGAAAGACCAGCCATGGCAGTGAGCCAGGGACATGGGGGAGGAAGGTGGGCACAGTGGGGGATGGAGTGAGGAATTTATATTTGGCCTAAATGAACATTACCCCACCCCCTGAGAAACATGGCCCAATAGACACCCATCTCTCTTTCATCTCCCCAATCCCCGAATGTAACTTGCCCACAAGCAGGAGCCAATGACACGGAGCCCCTGGACGTCCTCCAATCGGGCTCCCCCTCACCTTGCAGAGGACTGAGACTCCCCCCCACAGCAGCGCTGGCTAAGATCCTCGATGCTGGTGTTCTCACGCACTCCCACCAGCAATGAGTGGGTGTGCACAGAGGAGTGGCTGCTGCCAGGGCCTGCCTTCGAATTTTCTTTGACAACAGACTTTTTAAAATCCCCTTAAAATCTGGTCCTTGCCCATCAGCAAATGAGTGGATTAGAAAACTATGATACATCTACACTAGGGGTGTCGAACTCAATCAGAGAAGGGGCCAAAATCTAAAATCCAGCCTAAATCGCGGGCCGAATGGTTTACTGAACAGTCATAAACTGTCATTGTGATGGAAACGCAGCGGAGTGCAGTGATGACAGTGCGGTGCGGGCCACATTGCAAGGCCTGGCGGGACGGATTTGGCCCGCGGGCCTTGTGTTTGACACATGTGATCTACACAATGGAATACTACGCTGCTATAAAAAAAAGAAGGAATTCCTACCATTTGCAGCAGCATGAATGGACCTGGAGAGCATTATGCTAAGTGAAATAAGTCAGACAATGAAAAAAATACCACATGATCTTACTCATTTATGGAAAATAAAGAACATTATAACCTGGTGAACAAAAAGATAGATACAGAGGCAGTAAAGCACAAACAGACTCAAATTACAGTGGAATGCTGGGGAGTGTTGGGGAGGGGGGAAAGAGATCAACCAAAGGACTTATATGCATGCAAATAAGCACAACCAATGGACACAAGACACGGGGTGGGGGGGGGGTGTGCATGAGACAGAGGGTGGGGGAGGCTGGGGGGGAAAAAGGAGATATATGCACTATTATGTGTAATACTTTAAACAACAAAATAAACTTTAAAAAAATAAAATCTTTGGTCTTTGGCCTCCCAATCAGGCAGGACACCCCAAGGCTCGTTGGGGCATAAAGCCCTACCAGGCGTCTTCAAACTACGGCCCGCGGGCCACATGCGGCCCGCAGAGGAGTCTGATCCGGCCCGCCAGGTTTTTTGGGCAGTGAGCGCAGCCGAGGTGTTACAGTAGGAATTAGTAGTTCATATAGTCCGGCCCTCCAGCTCTCTGAGGGACCGTGATCTGGCCCCCACTTTAAAAAGTTTGAGGACACCTGTGCCTAGACCCTTCGCTGCTTTCTGTGTCCCCTTTATCCAGCCTGAGCCTTCGTTTTCTCCTTTGTAAACAGAAAGGATAAAAAAAAACCCGTGTCAGGAGTTTTCCTGAGGACAGTCTCCACACAATCGTCTTCGCCATGTTTTGGATTTCCTCCAGCCTAGACGGGGCACAGGTCACAAGAATTAAAGATAAAAACAGCGTAGAAATCCAGATTTCTCGACCCTGCCCACTGCTCCAGGCTCCTCTGAACTTCCCCGTGAGGCTCTGCGGGCTCCCACTTCCGCTGCCACTGTTGTTGGTTAAGCCTGACAGGGGAGTCCTAGCTTCTGCCCCCCTCCGGGCCCCCACGCTCTCTGGCTTATGCCTACCCTCCTGGGTCGGACTGCCCACACCAGGCCTGGGATCCACTCCTTCATTCGAATAGCACTCCCTGATAGGCAATGGTTAAACCAAAAATACATTTCTCAAGTGATGAGCATGGATCACAGTTTTATTTTAAATTTACAGGAAGGAAATCAGAAGAGAGGACTCAGGTTCCATGCACGACCTTAGGCAGCGTCTTACAGCCAGACAGCGGAGAGTGGGGCAGGGCTGCCCCCAGAACTCCTTACGGGGGACGCTCACGGCCCATCCGGAGGCCGCTCCACGCCGGGCTGGTGGCACTGGATGAGGCTGTGAGGCTGAGGACGTGGGTTGAGATGTTACAGACCAGCCGGTACGTTAAACAGCCCCCTGTGGCGCTGAGTCCGTGTGGGACAGAGCAGGGCTAGCAGGTCATGTTAGTCCACGTACAACTCAGTTTTCTCCGCCTGGAGGGGGTGCAGACCCGGAGAGACGAAGGGGGAGGAAGGGGCGGGGTCAGAGGGGCAGGTGTGCCCAGCTCTGGCCCCCCCCTGCCCTCCCCCCCTCCAGTGGAGCTGGAAGCAGGCGGCGGGGTGGGCAGAGGGTGCTGCTGCGGAGTTCCCAGCGCCCCCCGGAGGCTGGGCCGGAGGTGGGGCGGCCCCGGGGTGGGGGAGCCCCAGAGGCTTAAGCTGCCCTCCGGAGGCCTCCACAGCCCTTGATTTCGGGGTCCCCATGGCCCGACTCTGCACACCCTCAGCCTCGATCTTACAAAGATTTTTCCTGGGAGGTGGCATACTTTGGTTCTGTTTCTTTTTTAAAATATAAAACCTACTTATTGCTTTTTTCTAATTCTAAATTAGCAAGTGCCACCTTCTCCCATTCAGAGAAAACCTGAAGGTATAAATAGGAAAGAAAAACCACCGGAAACCCCATCCCCCGCCCCAGCACCGGCACTGTGTGGGCGTCACAAAGGACTGTTTTTAAAGACCTATCTGTGTGCATCCTGTAGAATGGCCTCCACACATGATCTTCTTGTAAAAGCTATTAATTAACCAAAAAACAAACAAAACAGCCCTAACCGGTTTGGCTCAGTGGATAGAGCGTCAGCCTGTGGACTCAAGGGTCCCAGGTTCGATTCCGATCAAGGGCATGTCCCTTGGTTGAGGGCACATCCCCAGTGGGGAGCATGCAGGAGGCAGCTGATTGATGTTTCTTTCTCATCGATGCTTCCAGCTCTCTATCCCTCTCCCTTCCTCTCTGTAAAAAGTCAATAAAAATAAAAAATAAAAAACACAGCAACTCCTTCACTGGCTCCTCACAGCAGCGGAAACCCGGAAACCGCGGGTGGGACTTGCCCATGCACCCTGACTCCTGACCACCCTCCCCCATAGTCTTACACCCCTTTTTCGGGCGAGAACAAACACAGAGACTCAGAGAAGCGAGGCTCCCCCTCATCCTGTCTCTGCTTGACCCTGTCTTTGCCAGAGGAGCTGTGTGACCACGGGCCAGGTGCTTGGCCTCTCTGGGCCTCCGTTTGGTCCCCATCAAGCACAGATAAGAGAGGCACCTGCAGCCACCGCGGTGGGTGAGGACAGATGTCACGATGGGCGAAGGCCAGAAGGTGCCGGTGCTCTTGTGATGAACCTGCCTGAGGCCCCTGGCAGCAGCAGGAGGGGGCCAGGCTTCCCCAAAACCCCACCTTTCCCACCACATCACAGGCAACTGGCCAGCAGAGAAGCCACGTGACAGGAGGCCGGCTCCTCGGTCCCTGCTGCCCCCTGGTGGCCCACTCTGGCCCCAGCGCCTGCCTCTGTTCCAGTAGGTCCTGTCCCAAGGCGTGCCAAGCTCAGAAAACTGGACCTGGAATCCCACCCATGCGGCCCACCCTCTCTTCGGTGTCTGCGTTTCCCCACCCTCTCCAGCACCGGCTGAAGGCTCGGCTGACAGGCATCAGGAGCTCTCGCTGCTCTGAGGACAGCTGTGTGACCAAGGCCCAGCCATGCAGCCTCTCTCAGCTTGCTTCCTCGTGGCGGTAGGTTAACAAAGCAGGAGAAAGCAAAGCAGGGAGATCTCAGGGACTGGATTAAAAGCAAAATTAAGAGACATGCTTATTTGCATTGGTAGGTGCAGGATGGCTACATTTGATATTTACAGTAAACAGAGCTGGTGTATGCACAGAAAGATAAAATGAATTTTGGCTCATGAGGGTGGTTTCGTCTCTGAGACAGAGTTTACTGCTCTGCTATGTCCCAGATGTGTTAATAAGAACAATGGGCAGGGCTTATTTACGGCAAAGATTAACTTTTTACGAAGGATGCCATAGGCTTGGGTGTTACTACCCACCAGGACCTTCCCAGCTACACATTCATAATCAGAGCATCCTGTGTGTTTCATGTCAGGCCTGCCACGGAGCCCCCTAATTGCCGGGCTTGCTCCATTGCCCCCTTCTCACTCCCGGCAGAGACCCAGGAGGTGGCCAATGCCCGATGAAAAGCTAACCCCAAGAAGGTAATTGCTTGCGTGTCTATACAGTGAACACAGAAGCCACAGCGGTGTGGAAGGGCGGAACGCAGGGACTACCTCGCCATGTCCCTGAGGGGCCCACCACCTCCCCGTCTCCCAGAGAAAACAAGCTTCTCAACTTCATCAGATTCAAACACTCCACACCTGGCTGCCTGCACATACCCTGTATTACTCTCACTGTACGCATCACCGTGAGTTACCATCTTCATATAACCCTGGAAGTTTTCTTTAAAATGCATGGAATGTGGTCACAAGCACTGCTGGTACCGTTAGCGCTGCGTGGCAGGCAGGGGTGCAGCTTCCCATTGGCTGAACTCCTGCCCCTGAACAGAGAGCACAGAGCAGAGCAGGCTCCGTCTTGCCGATTGTGGACGTGTGTGTGTGTGTGTGTGTGTGTGTGTGTTATAGTCTCTAACTATAATTGCCCCTCAGCGTGGACGGCAGACTGCACTTGCCGCCTGATTGTAGAGTTTGAATCTGCAGGTGGCAGACAGGCTCTGTGCTGCTTTCAGAGGCACCTGGCCCTCCCCATTGAAGAACGTGCTGGACCAGCCTCTGTAACAAGCTGTGTCTTGATTAAGTGGTGGCTTGAGGTAGAGGAAAAAAGGGCAGAGAGATGGAGATAGAGGTGGAGGTGGAGGTGGAGGTGGAGAGAAAGAGATGTGAGCAGCATCGATCCACTGCCTCCTGCACTCCCTCTACCGGGGATGGAACCTGCAACCTGGGCATGTGCCCTGACTGGGAACCCAACAGGTAATCTTTTGATGCAGGAGTTGGCACTTCAATCTACTGAGCCACCACAATCTAGTGCTTTTTACATAGACACTGAGTGGCCAGATTATGAAGATCTCTGAACACATAATAATCTGACCACTCAGTGCTAGTGGAGTGTGTGTGTGTGTGTGTGTGTGTGTGTGTGTTAGAGGCCCAGTGCATGAATTCATGCATGGGTGGAGTCCGGCCAGCCTGGCCAGGGGGAGGGGACATGGGAGGTTGGTGGCTGGCCTGCCTGCTGGTTGAACTCCTGGTCGAGGGGGAAATTTGCATATTACCCTTTTATTATATAGAATATACACTGAGCGGCCAGATTGTTATGAGTTCAGAGATCATAATAATCTGGCCACTCAGTGTAGTTCCTTGGTCTCTCTGCTCCACCCATGCACAGTAGTCCAGGCCTTTTTGTAAAGATGTTATTGACTACTGACCCACCGAAACAGGCCCGGGATCACCAATAGTGGGCGAGGTTGGGGGGGCGGGTATGGGGAGGGGGCACCTGGCCTCCTCCCAAGCCACCCACCAGACCACGCTTCGTAGGAGCTCGCTTCCTGCTTCCCTGGAAGGCAGCTGTTCTCTCCGCACACCCCAAGACTGAAAGGATGGTTGGGGGACTAGCGCTGAGCTAGTTCCCTTTGCACCCTGAACCAGGCTACAGAGACCCAAAAGCCAAGAGTCAGAGGTGGGAGGGCACAGAGCCGAAAGGAAGGCTTGCAGTTAGTGGGAATGAGAACAGACCCGTCTTGGCGCCAGACCTCTCCCGCTCCGGAGACAACACGCCCTGCATCTGATTGGTGCGTCCCGCCGTCTGGGCCCGCCCCTCCCGCCAGCCTGGCTCCACCCCCACCCCATTCCCACCCGGTCGCCATCCTCATCCCCATCCCCACCCCTATCCCCATCCCATCCCCCCCCACCTCACCCCCATCCCCGTCCCCATCCCCGTCCCCATCCCATCCCCATCCCATCCCCCCCATCCCCATCTCATCCCCGTCCCCGTCCCCATCCCCGTCCCCATCCCCGTCCCCGTCCCCGTCCCTGTCCCCGTCCCCATCCCCGACCCCGTCCCCGTCCCGCCGGCGCCTCCCCCGCGCCGCGTGGCTTTCCTAAGACCTCGCATAGCCAACCGTCCCTCCTCGCTCTAGCAGCTTTGTTACGTTTTTTAAACCCGGGAGCCTGGGCTGGCCCGGGCTCCACCCCAGAGCCCTAAATAAGGAAGTTGAGGGCCTGGGGTCAAAGAGAAAGGGTGACTGGACCGGGGAATGACCGGGACGGTTGGGCTGCAGGGAAGGGGGCGGGAATATCTGCTCCAATCCCGGGCTCCGGGCCGAGGAAGGATGGAGCCAAAGGTTTTCCCTCTGAAAAGCAAGGGGCGTATCAAACACTCCCCAAGACCCCTTCCAACTCTGAGTGACAGCAGGGCTCCAGGGCGGGGCTGTGTGGTCCTTCGGGGCCCGCGATCCTAGAACTTGGCTGGAGCTGGGATGAAGGGCAGGAGGATGGACTCCGGCTTGGTTCCACCCAGCACCGGATGAACAAGACGGGGAGGCCTCCAGCGGCTGTCTTCCAGGCTAGCACGTCTCAGGGCCCCCATTTCCCGAAATTTCTGTCTCCCTCTTTTTTCAACCACCCCTCCCCCAGCACTTCTCCCTGGCCCCTTCTCTAGGCCATTTTAGTACTTGCCAGCGGGGACTTTGTTAAATCTCCAAGATCCCATCTAGGAAGCAGGACTGAAGGAAAAGAGACCAGCTGTTTGCACAAGGCAAGGACAGAGCACAGGAGAGCCGGGGAGGCCAGCAAAGCCAGTGTCGTCTTTATTGGGGCGTCCGGGTAGAGGGACAGCCAGAAGGAGCAGGCCTGAGGACCGCGGAGCAGGCAGGAACAGGGTTTCCTGGCGCCGCAGGCTGGCCTCTGGGCGAGGACAGAGGCGGTGGGTGGCGCGGGTGCTCACAAGGACTTCAGGAAGTCCCTGTATTTGGCCAGGAAAGGGGCGGACAGAGTGTTCAGCTCCTTCCGGAGCTCCTCCAGGGCCTGGTCCTGCTCGTGCTGCTCTCCGGTCATCTGCTGCCGGTAGTAGTTGACGTAGAAGTTCACCCAGTCGTTCACGATGGTCACCATGGCTTCCTCTGAGACCGGAGGGTCAGTGAAGACCTGGGGGTGGGGTGGGGTGGGGAGAGGGGTCAGCAATGTGAGTCAGAAACAACCCACAAACTCTGACATCCTCTCTTCTCGGATTTGCGTGCCCTGTCTCTGGTGGTTTCCATCAACTCCGCCTCGACCCTCCCAGCTCCAAATCATTCTCCCTTTCCTGCCCTCCCCAACTCCTCGACACACCAGACCTGTCCTTTGAGACAACACTTGGGCTCACTTACCTGCTGATTCAGCAGAGCATTGAATTCCTTCATTCCTGTGGAAATGATATCTTTGTTGGCCGGAAGAAGCGCCATCTGCCTGTTGAGGGAAGGAAATTGTAAGCATGCTTTTCCCTCCTCCCTGGGCATTGCCCCCAAGTCCCTCACTTCTCTTAGAGATCCCCCAAGGTGCCTCCCCTCCGGAACCTTGCAAATCCTGCCCTGCTCTGAAGCCACGTTCTCCCAGGCTGGCTCCCGTGAGGCCCAGGCGTGCTGGTGTGTGCCACCCACACGTTCAGGCTACGTGTGTCCCTCTGCGCCACGCCAGGTGCGGGCCAGCAGCCCGGTGCCCGCCTAAACCGGGAACGCCCTGCATCCAGACCCTGAGGGAGGGTGATAGGTTGGCCGGGAGGGGAAGGAGGGCGAGGCTCCCCTGAGGTTGAGAAGATAGCAAGGCCTCAGACACAGATAAGGGGGACCCAGGGCGCCCAGCCGGGCCTGGGCCTTGCCCTCCGCCCAATCCCAGTGTCCAGGCTCCCGATGCTAACAACATCACATCATTGGCCTGCACCCTGGGTCAGGGTGGGCCTTTCCAGTCATCGCAGCAACGTGATGGCGTTTACTCCTGATGACACGTGAGCAGCAGCTTCCGTTGTATTTCTCCCTGATGCCAGGCACTGTTCCAAGCACGTGTTAAAGGTCTGTCCTCAGGTAGGCAGGTGCCAGTAAGGTCACAATCGGCAGGGGAGCCCCAGGTAAGAGGGGACTGACTCCACCCGGCTGTGCTCTGTAAGAGGGAGACACAGCCGTCCTGTTCTCTGACATGTCACTCAGTACTCAAAGTAGAAATACTCTTTTCGTCTTTTTTAATGTTTTCCATGTTTACTAGCCGTCTTCAAACTTCAAACCACCACCTTCTACTTGTGATTAAGTAGAATGTACCAGAATGTACCAGAATGTACCCTGAAAAGGGGGATTATTTTTGCTCCCTCCCTCTACGCAGTGGCCAGTATTAAAGATGCGGTGTTTCCCGTGACATCTTTCTGCATTCCAACCCGGCATGCATACTTCCTAGGTACCTATTCTCTCATGGACATTTGTCCATTTTCTTTTTTGTTTATAGCATTTTTTTTAAATATTTTTTTTATTGATTTCAGAGAGGAAGGGAGAAGGAGAGAGAGAAATAGAAACATCAATGATGAGAGGAAATCATTGATCGCCTGCCTCCTGCATAACCCCCAGTGGGGATTGAGCCCGAAACCCAGGCATGTGTCCTTGGCCGGAATCAAACCTGGGACCCTTGAGTCGGCAGGCTGACGCTCTACCCACTGAGCCAAGCCAGCTAGGATTAACATTCAGCAAAATTGACCTCTTTTTGGTGTGCAATTTATGAATTTGAATACATAGATTTATGTGACTCCTGCCACAATCAGTACACAGAACATTTCCCTCACCCCCAAACACTCCTTCATGCTGCCTGCCCCTCTGTCGCCACCTCCAGTCCCACCACTACAGCCTGCCAAGCATGGATCTGTTCCCCACCGGGCAGCTAGCTCTGTGTTTTTGAGGATACCGTATAACAGAATTGCGTAGTCTGTAATTTTTAAGACTGGCTTCCTTCTCTCAGAATAATGCCTTTAAGTTGTTGTAAGTAGCAGAGAGTTGTTCCTTTCCACTGCGGAGTGTGTGTCGCCTGGACACACGCAGTTCCTGTCCGCCCACTGACAGCTAGACAGTGTGCAGCTTGGGGCAAGCATGAGTGCCGCTGTGGCTGTGCACCGGTGTTTTTTTTGTTTGTTTGTTTTCTTTTTGTTGTTGTTGTTGTTTTTAAATATATCATTTTTTAAATATATTTTATTGATTTTTCAGAGAGAAAGGGAGAGGGATAGAAAGCTAGAAACATCGATGAGAGAGATACATCGACCAGCTGCCTCCTGCACAGCTCCAACAGGGGATGTGCCCGCAACTAATGTACATGCCCTTGACCGAAATCAAACCTGGGACCTTTCAGTCCACAGACAGTTGCTCTATCCACTGAGCCAAACCGGTTTTGGCTGCACACTGGTTTTTGTGCCAATATGTTTTCATTTATCTAGGGTACAAACCATTGTTTCCACTAGGAGAAACAGCTGCAATACAATCTGACCAAGCTTTTTAGAGGAATAATTTGACAACGCTTGTTCAAATTAAAATATGCATACCTTTCAACTCCATGATTCTGCTTTGGCCTCTATTTTAAAGAAATGTTCATATTCAATTTACAAAAAAGGCCTGTACGAGGAATTTACCAGTAAAGGAATTTGCCATTTGTGATCATCAAGAGACAGATTCAAACTGAAGGTCCTTAACTATGAGGAATCTAAAGAAATTATGGCACATTCATACTAAGGCACGACATACAGCTATTACATGAGGTAGATAAGCATGTACTGATATGAAAAGCTCTCTAAGGCAATGTTAACTGAGCTATAAATAGAGCAGGCTGTCCCAGGCTGAAAGTATGGGAGTGGGAGTGGGATTAAATGTAAATCTCTTTCTCTTTTCCTCCTTCCCTTCCTCTCTCCCCTTCTCTCTCATTCTCTCTCTGCCCCTCCCCCAACCCGCGTGTGTGTGTGTGTGTGTGTGTGTGTGTGTGTGTGTGTGTGTGTAGAATGGTAAACAATATTTACTTCTGGGGAATGATGGGTATTTGTTGGGAAATGTGAAGAGGGATAAATGTCAGGGTGAACTTGACCTTAACCCTTTATATTGTTGTTTGAATTATTTTACAGCATGAATGTATCCTATAATTATTTGTAATTTTTAAGAAGAAAAAAAAATAGTGTGGTTCTAAAATCATTAGCCTCAGATTTAAATCATGCCTCAGTGCCTAAAAGAGTAGCAGCTGCTCATGAAATCTTGGTTCAATGAATAAATGAATGAATGCTTTGCCATTTTCAGTTCTGTAACTTTGAAGTCACTTCATATATGTAAGCCTCAGTTTTGTCTGTAAAGGAGGAATAAAATAAATTACAAAGGCTATTGGGAAAATAAATGTATTCATTCCACAAATAGTATTGGGCACCTGCCTTTGTGCAGGGCACTGGGACAAGGCACTGGGACTATACCACTGCCCAAGACAGTGCCCTTCCCCCTATCAACACACGCCTGCCCCCTGGAGCTTACGTCCTAGTGGGGGAGGGAGGGGATGAGAGGCAAAGTCTGAGAGGAGGGCAGGGCCCATCCACAGAGCTTCATGGGCCACAACAAAAAGTTTGTTTTATTTCCAAGTATGAAGAAAAGCCACTGAAAATAGTGGCTCTGACGGGAAGGGGAAGCAGTTATGGGGAAAATTCCTCTAAATTAATTTATCATCATCATGGCTAATGAGGGCTGTCCCAAGTCTGGGGAGAGTCTTTTTTCATTAGCTAGACATGCCCAAGTCATCTTGGCCCCGATCAATAACATGAGGAACGGAGAGCATTTCTGTGATGCGCAGCTACAAGCTGAGAAGGAAACTTTTCAAGTTCATCAGCTGGTTCTGGCTGACAGATGTCCTTTCCTGCAGCTTTGTTCACGGGAGGAATGAAAGAGTCCTCAAAACATGATGTACATGCTGAAACCGGTTTGGTTCAGTGGTAGAGCGTCGGTCTGCGGACTGAAAGGTCCCGGGTTCAATTCCGGTCAAGAGCATGTACCTTGGTTGCGGGCACATCCCCGGTGTGCAAGAGGCAGCTGGTCGATGTTTCTCTCTCATCGATGTTTCTAGCTCTCTCTCTCCCTTCCTCTCTGTAAAAAAATCAATAAAATATATATTTTTTAAAAATTGCACTTAAAAAAAAGATGATGTACAGATTCTAGGACTTGAAGCTGGAATAGTTTGAATTCTTCTAGATTTCATTTATAGGACCACAGCGTTGGCGTTTACCTCTGATCAGTGGTTCTCACCTTCCTAATGCCACAACCCTTTAGCGCAGCTCCTCATGTTGTGGTGCCTCCAACCATAAAATTATTTCCGTTGCTACTTCATAACTGTAATTTTGCTACTATTAATGAATCATAATGTAAATATCTGTTTTCCGATGGTCTTAGGCGACCCACAGGTTGAGAACCGCTGCTAGAGACTGAGATCATTGGAAAACACAGATATTTACATTATGATTCATAACAGTAGCAACATTACAGTTATGAAGTAGCAAGGAAAATAATTGTATGGTTGGGGGTCACCACAACATGAGGAACTGCATTAAAGGGTCGCGGCATTAGAAAGGTTGAGAACCACTCACTGCTCTAGATGATGGCAAATGGAAGATTCTTATTTTTCCCTTTTTTACTTTTTTTTTTCCCCTTCTCAAAATGTCATACTCAACATGTATCGTTTTAACCAAAACTTCTACGTCTAAAATTTTTTGAAGAGTTTTAATGATATTAGAAAATCCACATAAAAACTATATATAAGATTTTAATCTTACGTTATATAACAAGTATATCTGGGAAATTTTTGAAAGAACTATAATAAAGTGCTAATAGTGTATGTGTATGGAAAATGGGTGATTTTCATGTTCATTTTTATCCTTTTCTACCTAAAGTTTTTTCTGTAGTGAATACCTATTACTCTTATAATCAGGAGAAAAAAAAAAGTTTGAAAACAGTGACTGTTTAGTCTCATGCTGAGAATACAAACACCATGCTCTCTTTAAAGAAGATAACTCTGTGGCCTGATAAAGTGTTGCTTATTTAATGTCTAATATTTACAACTTCAAAATAACAAAGGTAATTTTTCTTTGTATAGTTTCATATTCCTTTTTGGGAAATTTCAGAAAACAACTCTTAATTGGAGGATTGTAAATGACTATTTTATCTACTGAAAATAATTCAGCTCTGCCTGTTGGCTAATAATGTGCCAGTTCACTCTGAGAGGTTCTTGGCCTCACTTTTCTAAATGACTATGTGTTGAACTGCTTCATAAATGTCCCTGCTTCTCATATTTGCAAAATAGAAATGAGCAGATTAATCCAATGGAATTAGTTGAACTACATAAAAACAGAAGAAATGGGGGGGGGGGGGAAGCTATTGAGGCTATTATCAATAAGACAAGAAATAGCAAATGTTGGAGAGGATTAGAGAAAAAGGAACCCTAATACACTGCTGGCGGGGATGTCAGCTGGCACAGCCACTGTGGAGAGCAGTGAGGAGGGTCCCCAAACATGTCATAGAACCACCTTATGACACAGCAATCCCTCTTCTGGGTGTCTACCCCAGATGTCGGAAAACACATATTTGTAAAAATACATGCACCCTGTATTCATCCCAGCCAAGACATGGAAACCACCATGGTCTGCCTTTTCGATG